CTGCTTGGATTTCTGGGAAATATTTCCAGCTTTGACACACCATAGCGTCTGCGCATGACTGTTACGTTAGGTGACCAAGCACTCCTAATGCAACACAAGCAAAATCATCGGAATTCAGCATGGCGCTTTTAATATGTTCTGTATATTTATGATAAGCACCCAGTACGCTTACAGCACACAGAGGCGTCATAACTCAAAGTTCTACAAAAATAATTTTAAAAGAACCTATACATTCAACGAAACAAACACAAAGCCATCCTTTACCTGCCACACCGTTACCTAAAGTGACAGTGAACGGAACCCGCTGAAATACGGCGGCTAATGTAATAATCAAATCGACAAACCAAATCATACGTTACGTTACATATCATAATCATATCACTGAAATCTGTTTTATATGTTGTTTTCTTCACCGAGCTCAGATTTTGCCTGATGTCATCGTTAACATAATCAAAGTATATTAATATTTCAGCAGCAGGCTGGAGTTTGGTAGGTTTTCTATTACCGTCTGGTTAAAATTTAATCCCCCGCCATGACTTCAAAGAGCTTGAAGATGCAATCTGAAAGAAAGATGGATACCCACCCCCCCCCCCCCCCCCCCCCCGCACACACACACACACACACACACACACCGCCATTCTGCAGAGGCAGCCGCGGCGCTGAAAGTCAACAGAGTCATTGCAGTTATCCGACTCGTGCCCTGAGGTCACGGACGTCTGGTCCTGCAGTGCGTGGCCCACGCCGTCTGAACGCAGGCTATTTAAATCCGGGACACACTCCACGGTGTCTATGTATCGCTAATTATAAGATCTAATATACTGCTAGTATCATAACTATGTGGATTTATTAGATCCGAATGGTTTTCCTGTTGTTTCATTGTACCTCAATGTGGCCTGGGGTTTAACATTTAAATGAAAATCATGCACCCTGACGGGTAGCGTCCAGTAACTAATAATACGCGGACGGATTAAGCATTATATTTTTAAATGTTAAGTACTATATTCCGAATGCTTGTGTTTTAAGTGTAAACTGTTGCGAGGTATATTTAGTTACATTTGCTATATCAGTAAGCATATTTACATATTTTATCAGAATATAATGGGCGGCAGGCAGCGGCGGCGCAGTAGTTGAGGCGCTACAGGACAGCTATTATTTAGAGCGGGTGTTTTAACATTTAGGCTTCAAGATGTGTATTTTGGACAAAAAATACGACGAGTAGGCTATAAAAACAGCAAAAATGCATTATATGATATACAGATAGTTTAAAAAAAGAAACATGCGGAGGCACAACGATCATTGCAGGAGGAGCCGGAGCGCTCCCAAGCTCCTCCCTGGCGCCGTCACAGGTCATGACAGGACAATTTTGAGAAACAAAAATTGCCGCTTTCTTTGGTATTTGCAGACCGGGGGACAGTGTTGTCTTCTGCCACCGACAGCGCTTTAATATCCTGCGACTGCCCCCTAGCGATCGACATTTTTTTCTGCGAAGAGGTTTATGGAATTTACTGGGGAAAATAATCTACTTCACCTCGGGCCTTTCAGATACCCTTACATTAACATTCACATTTGTCTTTTCACAGTTTGAACCCAAAAGTGAACAATTTGCTGCGCATTTATATTAGGCCTATAGTAAGTATAGACTACAGCAGCAAGGTGTGGTTAGACGTAATAAAGAATCGATGTCTGTGGATTATAAAAATCAATTTATTACAAGGAGTTTTCCGCCTCAGAACTGTTGGCTTGGTGCGTTTTGTTTATTACCCGAAACCTCGGTAAACTCTTGACAATATAACATTCCTGATTGTGAAAGTAAATGTAGAGCACCACGATACATGGTATCACACATCTCAAAATAAAACGCCAAAAAAAAAAACAGCTGTGTAAGTATCAGAATAATAAGAAAACTGAAAAGAATAACTATCATGTCGTTTTAAAACATTCATTTATATGAAATCTGCATTTACATACATGAATATATCCTTTGTCGATAATTCTATGTAGCTTCCATGCACGCCATTTGAAATAAATAAATCAAAATAAATTAAAAGCGAGGAATGGTGTAAAATAGTTGCAACCTTGGCTATATGCTTTGCAGCTCCGTTAGGCACTTAGGCTATATAATTCGCGAATGTTGAAAGAAGACGCATACGAGATATTTCCAATAACAGCTCCTGAGATAACACTAAGAAATACAAATAAGAGGACGGAACAGAAAGTGGAAACGCTGCTGCCTTGAAAAAGTTAATTTAATTGCGGTACGTTAAATGAAAAAGGTAAAATAATTACGGTACGGAAAATGCTCGTGCACGTCTACGGGAACATTCCGTTCCTTACAAATAACGTGTGAAACAGCGCCCCTGGAGTCACAAAATATGGTGTAACACCTGTTACTATGGGCGCAAAGCAGGAAATACGGGGCGCCAAACCATCTGTGGCACGCACACATATTTACACCTACGGGCAATTTTGCCAAACCAGTTCACCTTATCATGTTTTTGGACTGTGGGGCAGGGGAGTACGGCCAGGAAGGCAATCGGCGTCGTTCCGCCCCATATTCATTATTATTATTATTATTATTATTTGCCGTCAACGCTATAGGTAGGCTCTTAGCGACCGTATAGACTTCAATCCTCTGAAATATTCTTATTAATGTACGCCTACATATGTTTCATACTCCTATATACATTTTTTTTTTTTTTTTTTTTTTGGGGGGGGGGGGGGGGTCTTTTATATGAGAAAACCCAGTACTACAGTCTTCGTTATTTTTTTCTACGTATCGATCCTGTAAATGATACTGTATCTGATCAGGCACATGCGGCTTTTTACACTTTGTATCTCGTGTTTCACACCTGTGTGGCACCTGCATCAATTCTTGTCAGACAGGAAACCGTGCGGGGTTTGCTTTGCCTGCATGTCTCAGTCAGTCGTGCCCTTCACAAATACTTGTTCGCCCCAAGGAGCGCTGCAACGCGGTACGTTTCCTCTGTATCTGTACGAGGGGGATCGGGAAATGTATAATAGTCATCCTGATTTTGCTTTGCTTATGTAATCTGGGGAAATATGTGGTGGCTGTCTACCACTGCCATGATATAGTTTTAATTGCGTTTCTGTTTCAGTTAGTCTTCTCTGTATTAAGCAACTTAAAAATCAAAAATAAAATTGGATGCAATAACGCAGACCTGCTGGGGACGGCACGGCCCTATCACACAGTATAGGCCTAGATTATAATGTGGTGTTTTGAAATCCTGCATTTGTTATTTGTGCTTAATGGCATTTTATCAGGTAGGCCTACTGGCTGTCTCCGCCACCTAGGAATAAGGAATTCCTTATCGAGGACCCGTCAGGCGGAGGGGAATGTGGCGGCGATGAAAACAGCCGGATTACACTTACACAGGGTGGGTTTGACACCCCCCCCAGAAGCAGCCTCGGTAGAGATTGCGAGAGCAGCCGTAGCACCCTTCCTTAGGAGTGTAGCTCTCTCATAGTGACTAAATATTCATCGCAGGTGTGTTCACATTTCCCCAAATGCTTATTCTGCCGATTTATTTGTGTTAACTTATAGTACTATATAACGTCGATAGTATTTCTGTTATGTGGCAAGTAATCTCCTATTCCCAGTGCAAGTAAACGGTACACGCTGAATTCCTGAAGTGAGTTTGCCGTAAATAAAGGTCAGCATTAACCGGTTCAGCGTTACTCCGAGAGTATCATTCACTTTAAGCATAAAGTTATCTAGGCATCCAGTTAGCATTTCGGAAGTAGTTGACTATTTTTAGATTTTATACTTCATTGATCCCAAACAGGATATTTTGCATTTTTTACATTTTAGTCTTTGAAGAAGGAAAATAACTTAACGAAACGGTATATTAATTGTTATCCTGTCTATTTATATATTAATGCTTTGGTTTGGTCGTTCCCTCCATCCATCCATTTCCTATGACTGCGTACCTAATAGATGTTTTGATACATCTATTAATTTAAAAAAAAAACTGACAATAAACAAGACATTCGAAATTTGGCGCCTTCTAATGGAAGAATGAATGAACAACGTGAGTTTAACATCTTTTCGGGAAGTTTGTTCTCTTGGTTTGTACACAGATTTATTGGTACTTGTGAAGTTCAATACAACTGAATGCTATTATAATACGATTTCTTAATCGTTATTGTTGTATTCAATAGGAATGCTGTTCTTATAAGAACGAGAGTATGAAGTCGGACCCGGTCTCATATCATATATGTGAATAATTGTCGAAATGAACCAGAGAAACTTAGACTTTTGTCGTTTATCGTTCGTTAAGAATTGTAAAGGGTTAAAACAAAGTGCGGTTCTGCCTATTTCAGATTTTGTGCGGTGCAGGACCGTTCGAAGCCCATGTTTGCGCCCTTGGCAAGCGTCACCGCCGGCACCCCCCCCCGGTGGCAGTTTACTAGGGTGTTGCCTGCTCAAAAGATGAAGCCATTGTCGGCATAATTTCCAACCTACTTCCAGTTCACACTTTCTTGTCCTACCCTCACTCCGGTTCAGCCTTATCTGTGATCTAGCAATCATTTTCATTGGTTAACGTCGGCCTCCCGACTTCTGAGTACTTGACAGACGGTGACAACTTCCCTGGGGTAACTTTCCATGTTTTTCAATCACTCTTTGATGTTTGTTTCAGGAGCAACAGTAGACCTTATAATAACTGTATGATTTATACTTTTATTCATAAATTTATTTTTGCTGTTTCTGTATTTTATTTGTACTAGACAGGTAGTCATGACAAACCTTAATTAATTAATTAATATCAGTTAACTTTTATAGGCTTATAATGGGGACTTTCATTGATTGATATATATATTGATTTCACTGATTGAAATTTTGGCCTATAGTGCATCCCAGGCTGCCAGTTTCAAACATTTAATCTAACTATGTCCTCTGCTTTTGTTGTACATCTTATTTCTGCTTTAACCAGTTGTTGTCTTGCTGTTGTTTTTACTTAGATGTGATATGGATACCTTTCTTTTGACTCACTAACTCCAAAGTGGGTAGCACACATCTTTATAGTTTATGAAACACATGTTGGCATTTTTTGAAACAGAGCCTGTCTACAAATTATCATGAAGTTCCCTACCACCTGTTTGGCTACAGGAGTGTCACAGTTGCCTGACAACCAATGGGATCACAACAAGGGGCGTGGTTTACTGGAACTGGGTTGGAAATTGTGTACATGCTGTCAGAGGTACCCTGTGGATCCACATTCCATTACAGTACAAAAGTTGTTTGGCATAAGTCCTAAACCACAGACCATGTGACACTGCCAAATAATTAATGTATTTGGGTAAAAATCTGTCAGTAATCCATTTTTACAATATTACAGGCCTATTGTTAACTTATAGTATTATATTGCTAGTTTGCTTGGTGCCATAAGAAAATTAAGTGCCATGAGAAGGAACAAGTCTTTTAGAGTATAAGGAAGCAGATGAAGAAGATTAAAGTCTTGAGAAGAAGAATGAAAAGAATGGCAACATTTTTATCTTTGTGTTTGTAATGTTTTAGTCTGTGTTTGTCTTTCTTTGGAAGTAGATGGACCTGAATGCCGTGTGGGTAACAGCCATAGTTTTACAGGTCGATTCGGAGGGATACGATTACAGCTGCGGCTTCTCCACGTCCCGTTCTTGGCTCTGAGAGATGGAGAGGCAGAGGGCTTTCCTGGACAGCCGGAGAAGCCCTCCCAGTGACAGCGGCTCCGCCACCTCCCTGAATGCCGATACTGTTGAAGATTTCAGGAAGAAACTCAAACACTTCTTCATGAGCCCCTGTGAGAAAGTCAACACGCAATGGCGGATATCTTGGAAACTGCTTCTACAGATCCTTAAAATCGGACTTGTCACCACCCAGGTATAAATTAAACGAGTTATTTAGATGTGGATGATTACGCGTTCATTTGCTCTTTGTAATGCTGTATGTTGCATGTCAGTCTCACGTTAAGTGCATTTACCTGCTAATGTCTTTCTGCCTTATAGCTGATCTCCTTTGGACTCAGTAACCAGATGATGGTCACATTTGAAGATGAGATTCTGGTCACACTCAGGCATCTACTTCTGAAAGGATATAATGACAGAAATATTGAGAATTATGCCGTATACACAAAGTCTGAAGTGTATGACCACATCCATTTTATTGTTGATCAGGTAAAATGACCATTTTATTGGAATATATACATTGATTAACTTGGATACACTGTGTGTTTTGGTTAATGTGTCCTTATGTTTGTGACTTAACTGTCTGGACACTGGTTTCTGGAATGATTCACGGAAAGTCACCAGCTACTGTTGTGGGGGGGCAAAGTCATGGGGTTCGATGTGATTTATTCACTTGATTTCTGACGGCTCATCTGGATGAGTTGTTGTTGACGCCGCTTACCAAAATTACTGCCAGCATTCTGTAAAACTACCAAACCAGAAATCGTTAACCTTCACAGGTTACTTTAATGCAATAAAAAAAATTTGCCCACTTGCTATTAAAAAACACTTTGGTGTCTGACACTGGTGTAATCTGCATAAGCAAATACCAACTTTCCAAAGCATACAGCATTTTACAAGGATTACCTCACCAGCACGTATTACGAAAATAATTTCTTCATGCTGTAGTTCGGTTTTAGCCATTTATTTGTACTTGTGTGTTGTGCAGCTTTATTCAATATTTGTACGTAGCAATTTTTCAACAGGCCTGTTTGAAACATTTTATTTATTATTATTAGTATGTAAATTTGTGGAATCTTTCTGCGGGCAACCATGCATACGAGAAGGACGGCGGGAAGTATACGCCCCTTTCCATATGCCAAGACTTCTACAGAAAGAGCCTGATTTTCCCAGAAAATGAGACCTTCCACATTGATCCCCACGTTGAATCAGGTACCGGGGTCCAAGTGACCCGTCCATCTCTGTAAAGTAGAAAATATTCATTTTTCAGCGGAAAAATGTCATGGAATATGTGATTGGGTGGAAAACATTTCTCGTCGGTTTGCGTGACCACAGAAACAAGAAGTTAACTATTTACTCAGACGTGTGTTTCAGATCCATATATAATTATTAATGTCATATTTTCCTTCCCGATTAACATTTAGGTATTTATATATATCTCGCAGTATAAATGGCGTCTTTTTGTTATTTCTGGCAGAGTGCTCGGACATATATCCATCGCAGCTCCTTGCAGACCCTACAATTATGAAAAAACAGTTGAATATCACTCTGGATTTTAAAAGGTGCTTTAAAAATAAGTTTTTGAACTGTCTGAAAATTCTCTCCACAGCTGGTTTGTGCAGTAAAGTCCCCCAAAAGTAGTCCTGAAAGCGCACGACCAAATTTTGATCGGAATGAATCCGAATAGTGTTCTCATGTGTGATTTTGATTATTAACGATGGGTACAAAAGCGTTGTTCTAAGGATTTCATTAGACAATTTTTTCCTTCTTGTCCTCAAGGCTGATTAGAATAAAAATCCATTTCGCACTGAAGGCCATAAACGTGCAAACGCTTTTTCATCAGGAGTTGCCCGATTGCTACGTCTTCGCTGTGGCGGTAAGTATCCGAGTAGCTCCGCATTTCAGTCGCAAACGGAAAATATCCTTCAGCCCCAAAAGAACCAAAAAAAAAAAAAACTATAAAAATACAACTATTTCTGCTATGTTTGCGTTACGGACTAGTGCAAATAGCTTTCGCCAAAAATATATTTCTAAATCCATATTTGTTTTAGGCCAGAAAGATAGACAACAACACGAATGCAGGCTTGGAATAACCATTTGAGATACAAATAGGTTTGAGCCACTGTGCATTAAGTAGCCTAGTGGAATTATCCGCTTTGATCTAGTTTTAAAAACCAGCGCCGTTAGTGTTCAGCTTCAGACCATCACAAGAAATGCGTATTTATGTTATTTTCTCACACTACAGACCACGTTTCACAACATTGCTCAAAGTGGACGCATCAAAATGACTCTGAACAGCAATACTGACATTAAAGAGTGTAAAGACGGGAATGTTACATTCACGTGTAAGTGTTTCGTCTGTTTATCATCACTACTATTTTGTGTTTTTAGATGGCAGGACAGCGGTACGGTTCGGCATTACAGTGTCATGAGTCGCTCTGGAAAAGGGTTGCGTTTACTCTATTTAGACAACAGGTGGCGCAAAACGGCCAATAAATTGAGAGGCCTAAAATATGTCTTGTTGCTAAATAGCGATATGTATATGTCATGACATAATATAAGTAATTTTCAGTTCCCAGGAACATCCATTACCTTACGTTAGATTCTTTCATCATCCTCATCTGTTTGACGTCACTGCTTCTGTGTGTCCACTCGCTAATCAACGGGATTCTGCTGCAGTTCGTAAGTAAAACTTTTAGTGATATGATTGTACAGTGAGAATTGTCTGAAATGTCTGATCTACATGTATGTGTGTTAATCTCATTCAGGAATACACTGCCTTTTTCCGAGCCCTGCGCAAAAATGTACCACCATGGTCAGATCGCATGGAGTTCGTGAATGGCTGGTATATTCTGATTGTACTCAGCGACTCCTTGGCAATATCAGGCTCTCTCCTCAAAATCGGAATCCACCTGAAGGTATTTCTACACGACTGTGATTAATGAAGTATATCTTATGTAGGTCTATTATATCTTACATTGGGTCGGCATGGTGGTGCAGTGGTTAGCACTCAAAGCCTTTGGGACCTGGGCTCAAGTATCCACCAGGGTTCCATGTGTGTGGAGTTTGCATGTTCTCTTGCATGTGTGTCATCATGGGATTTCGTCTGGGTACTCTGGTGTCCCCCCACAGAGTGAATGGTGTGTGAGTATGCCTTGTGATGGGTTGGTGCCCTGTCCCGGGATTTTCCTTTCCTTGTACCCATAGCTTCCCGGATAGCCCTGTGACCCTGAATAGGACAAGTGGTATCAGAAGATGCATGGAGATTCTATGTTTATGTGCCTCTGAAGTGTGAATCACTCTGCCCAATCATATTCATTGCATCTGTGTTTTGTTAGCCCTGTCTAGCCCCTTGAAATGCATTGCCAATATTCAGATTCATGTATGTTAATCCATTTTTAAAAATCTTCTTCATTACTATTTTTCTTGCCATTAATCTTTGAGCAGGATCCTCCTAGTCTGTGGTTATGGGGCATCACAGTTGCAGCACAGAGGTTCATGTAGAGATAGCTTAAGAACCCTTCTATACCAGTTTACTGTAGCCCATTTTTTTTAAATGAAGCAGTTTACCAAGTTTACTGATTGTCTGGTTTGCAGTGTCAGTGTTATAGAATTAAAATTAACATTTGTTTACTGGTTTCTCTTTTTCAGAATTTTACCAGTTATGATGTCTGTAGTATTCTGCTGGGTACAGCCACGCTGCTGGTCTGGACAGAAGTCATCTGGTACCTCAACTTGTTTCAGAAATATAACGTAAGGCCGCTACGTTCATTTTTTAGCACAACGAAATGCTAAAAAACGAGTGCAGTTCCACTTTGATGGTGAATGCAGGATGTCAGTGTGGCGATTGAGCAACTGGGCTTGTGACTAGGAGGTCACGGGGTCAATGTCCTGGAAGATGTCCAGCTCTGTAAATTTACATTTATTGAGCCAAAACTTTTGCCCAAAGCGACGTAGAAGTGAGCCTGGGAGATTTGCTGAATGCAAATGTAAATGTGTTCAGGTGTAAAAATAAATTAGGATATTTAAAATGTGAGGCATACCCAAACGTATACACACCCAAAAGAAGTTGGCTGATATTAATTCGTTGCTCCATGCACAGCCTGTGAGTTTTCTAACCCTGAGACTGCCTTCTTAATTCTGCAGGTCCTAACCCTTGCGTTAAAGGCAGCCTTTCCGAATGTCCTCCGGTTCTGCGGATGTGTCATCATGATCTATCTTGGTTACTGCTTCTGTGGCTGGATTGTATTAGGACCTTACCACTCAAAAGTAACCCTTCTACTTCATTCTCTGCAATCCTGCACAGACCTGCATAGACTGCTAACTGTTGTGTAATTAACAAATAATATTGGTCTGTTTGGTCTTTTCTTTTTGGGTCCAAAGTTCCAGACTTTGAACACCGTGTCTGAGTGCCTGTTCTCCGTCATTAGTGGAGATGTCTTCCACACCTTCAAGAACATACGGAGATCGAGCTACCTGGTGTGGCTCTTCAGCAGACTGTACCTCTACTCCTTCGTTTTGCTCTTCGTCTACATGGTTTTCAGTCTCTTCATCTCGCTTATCACAGACACATGCAACACCGTGAAGGTTGGTTTCCTTATCTGGTGAATCGCGTTGTTTTCTATTTAAGGAAACTGAGTCATGAGTTGTTATTTTCTCCCTTAAGCAGCAGCAGCAAGACCGCCGGACGGAGTCGGCACTGAGGGCGTTCATAGACTGCAAAGACCTGCCGGATTCAGGGAAGTTCACGCTGGACAAGGAACCGGATTCATGCTCTTTTTGCAGCTGCCTTCGGTGTGTCACGTAGCCTGTAAAACAGACCTTATCCAGAAAGGGTTGGTGTGTATGTGGGTTTTCGCTGCAACTCCTTAATTAGATTACTAATTAGAGGGCTGATTGGCTGAAGAGTGCATGAACCTGGGTTTGAACAGCTGACCTAAAGGTTACCCCAGAAACCTGCACACACACCGGCCCTTTGCGGATAGGATCGCCCACCCGCTGTTAAAGGCAGTGGTGGGAATAACTGCCCTTGGAAGTGAGCCGGATCATATGGCTCCTTCACCATTCATTTTTCGTCCCTTCTTACAGGGTAGAGGTTACTAGGTTTATCTACAAAGTAATCAGTGGGATAATGATAGGGCAAGATTTGGATCAGATTCAAACTTATATCCCACTGATATGATCTCATTTCTTATGTGTGGACTAGGTTTAGCTAGAGGAGGAGGTGCCAACTTTGAACATTGAGTTTGCAAACAGTAACTAGCAAATCCTGCTTATTCTACCTTTGAGGACCATAATGCGATAATCGATACCTCCTGCGACTGGCTGGTGCTACTGTTGATATAAAGGGGAGTGGAAGGATTTAGGGCGGGCGATGAAATTTGGACAGAACAATAAAAAGAACAGCTTAAGTACGACTCGATTGTCTTCGTTCATACCAAGGAGTCGATACAAAGAATCGGATTGTTTGCAAACGAAACATCACTAACAGATGGTAGTTTGTGGGGGTAGTCACATGTTCATTCAGGAGCTTCCAGCAGTCTTTCTTCGGTGAGCATGGGGCTGGTGCATCAGCTGTCATTTAGCCAAGGGAGCAGTTGAAAACAATACGTGCATGTTCAACACACTTTCAATCATGAACTGTGGTGCGAGATCATGTTGGCCTCACGCTGAGAGTAGCCAATAAAAAATAAAAGAATGACATTTGTGAAGACCGTTCAGTAAACCTCATTTACAGTATTGGTGTGCCAGTTGGTAGTCATCACAATAATGTTAACCACTACTAATGGTAAGGCAATAATGAATCAAGTTGACAATTTTAAATTTAGTACTAGGTTTGTGTGTAGTTATATTGACGAGTGGGATGCTGTCCATACAGAGTACACTGTGTCCCACCAGGGCGTCTGTGCCAGAGACTCTGCTGGTGGTTTGCACAAAAAACCCCCACAACTCTCAATTTATAAAGCAAACTAAACAGTCCATTTTGAGTTGTATAAATTTCAGCTGGTAACTTGGTTCTTCTATAAAGGGGTTTTTTTCATTTTGAACTTGGACTAAGAAACTAAAGTATTTCAGTGCTTCATGCAATCTCTTTACTGCTTGAGCAGAGCAGACAACAGCTTGTCGAGGCAGTCAGTAGAGATGAACAATTTCTCAGGGCAGTTCCAGCACCTTTGATAAGTACTGGACAGTAGTAGGGCTTTTGCAACTGCTTAGCTTTGCAACTAATTAGTATTGGTGTCTTATATTAAGGACCAAACAGATAGTAAAACAAAGGTGGATTTTCTTTTAGTGCTTCATTAGGATTACATCTTTGCAGCTGAATACATTTCCGCACTCTTTAGTGTGTGCAAGTAAAAAATTACTCTACTAAGAGCAATCTATGGCCCAGATGCCCTAATTAGCTTACTACCATAGAATTACACCACACAGTCTTAGCATTTAGCTGTGCTAACATTCTTTTTCCAGAACATGCAATTGTCCACAAAGGTACATGGTAATGGTATACACATCAGTCCCTTTGGTCCATGATCCCAAGAACCTACTGGCAGTGACTGGCATGGATGCGGCTGAGCCATTCTGGGACTTTAACCGCTGTGCTGGTGACGTGAAGGATCTGGATCCACTTGGTGCCTCAGAAGTCTCTGACCACCACCCAGTCACCAGGCTACAAGCCATGCAGGGGTCCGTCCTTTTGGACTGGAAGGACTGCTTTTACCTGGGGGTAGAGAGAGTAGTGGACTGATTTCTCTGGGGGGGCCAGGCTGACATAGGTAGGGGGCCCCTAAATGGGCTATTGGAGATCTTTTCAGAGCCAAAATAGAAATGAGAGGGAATTAAAAACGATGGGACATCAATATTGTTCTAATCAGAGTGCAGGATACCAGCAGTAACACCTACACTTAAGGGTGGGGGTGGGAATTTGCTGATGGGGGAGGGGGGTATTGCCCCAGAGGATTGATCAGTCAAATTTTCAAGTTCAATCATTCCCTCTGCCTCTGGTTGGTCTAGATTTTTTTTGTACATATTCTCTCCATGTCTGTTCACATGGTGTCTATAACTCGTCTCCATTCATCTGTATAAAAATAGCTGGATGAGACCGTCATTTCTATTTTCACAGCTTTCTATCGTGTGATGTTTAACTGGAGCTCGTTTAATGACTCATCTCGTTGCGCTTCTGATCCGATGCGTACAATCCCCACTATTTGTACCTCGCACGTCTGCGCAAGCGCAGCAATACATTTCATTGTAAGTTTTCGCATTCGCCGTACGTAAAGCGATACATGCTGCAATTTGTATGGCATTAAATTAGTGCCAAAACTCGCGCGCATAAAAACCACGCGCGCGTATGCGCTCGCGAGCAGAAAACCCATGCTCTCTACGCGCTCGCGTTTGCACAGTACTTGCTCGCTCGCTCGATCGGCGTTACATTAGTGCCAAAAGTCGAACCACGCGCGCGCGTGCGCTCGCGAGCTGAAAACCCATCCTTTCTACGCGCTCGCGTTCGCTGGACCCTATCTACGTTTCAAAAACCAGATTTCTTACTTAGCCGGATAACTTGTCAGATTTACGCTACCCCAGTTTGAAATGTTTTTATCTTCGTTCACTTATATTTACTCCAGACTACCTTAATCCCAATAAGTTAATTAGTTTAATTAGTTAATTAGTTTGCTGTAAATGTAGATAATATGATTTGCAGCATAATATCAGGATGAACAGATCGGGCAGTGCAGACGTACAAGGTAAAATCGGGCAGGTGGTATGGATCGGGAAAAGACAACACCAACTATTTATCTCGAGGCGTTTAACTTATAATTTCTTAATGTCATATTAGGCCTCTACAATTTTTGTTTACAAAGCTTAAAGGCAAAAGCAGTTTTTATTTAAATGTTTGAAAATTCAATATTCAGTTCTTCATCCGGTGTATATGTAATATTAAACTGATTAGGCTATAACTCTAGGCTGATAAAATGATCAGAAAAAGACAAATCGTTAGTCGCAATTAGCCTATATTTGTATGACAATTAATCGTAAACTAAAAGTTTCTGCATCAGTATCTTGTGTTAGCCCTGGTTGTATGAATATGTGCCTTATTCAGCTCTGCAGCTTATTGCTATGTTGGAGGCCAAAGAATATAATTGGCTCTGTAGCTAAGCAACATGTGGCCAGCCTGCTACTGTAAAAAAACACCTGAGTTCTCACAGCAGTTTGGGGTCTTGCCTGAGGCTCCATTATAATGTCCTTTGCCGGTACTTGGGCTCTCTGCCATGAGTATATACAAAACATTGTGGAGGTCGTTTTGCTATGATCGTGTTTTCTAGAAGGTTCAATCAAAGAAATGATTGGCAGGCCAAAACTTATAGAGCTGGGGAAGTAATTGGACCCCCAAAAGACAGGGAATAATGGTAAAAAACCTTGGGGCGAGGACTCTGAGCCCTGGAAGAGGAGGTACAGTGATAGGTGGTCAAGAGAGATGATTCTCGGGACGTCCCCTGTGACGAATATCCCGGTAAGAGATATGAAAAGTGTGTAAAAATCAGTGTAATTCAGTATTAGGCGCACTTCTGCAGAGTGTCCAGCCTTGGTTGTAACTCCGCAGTTACAATAAAACACTTGACTTCAAATTCTTCGCAACAACTTCTGATTCCTGATTTGGCTTAAAACGATTAACCATGACAAAAGGAGGTCGAGCAGACCAGTCTGTTACAGCCGAGACGGGGGCAACTTTGTATATCCTGAAAACTTGCAAAAAATGCAAGTAACACACACGTTGCTTCATTTAAATGATCATATTACGTAATATTCTTATATATCTTTCTTCATGGGGCTCCTACTTTTCAGGGGCCCCTGCCTCACCTTGCCTTATGGTAAGTCTGCCCCTGGGTAGAGGTCTTCTGCCATATGGGTTAGTTTCTGACAGTATCTGAACATGGTCTCATCCATGTCCTCTAGAGCAGAGGGAATTGAGAGATCAAAATGGGGCCCATATCGCATAGGACGTCCAGTGAGGACTCCATAAGGAGATATCCCTGTCCTGGAGTGAGGCTGAGGAACTGGAAAATATCCATTATACAAAGCATTGAAATATTATTTACAAGTTATATCTCCAGTTGCCAGTGTTGTAAATATTTTGGTGTCTTCTTATTGTCTTACGTCTAATGCCCACTGTCTGCACTTTAGATAGGTAGATGTTATTGTGTGGTATAGTTATTGTGTATCGTTACTGTTATATGCGCACTGTGATCAGGGATGAACGCTTTTTCATCTCATTGTGTGCTTGTACAGAGTTGTTGGTGACAATAAAATCTTAACCTTAACCTTACTGTTCGAGTTGAAGGAAATACGGAAGATCATTAACTTTTTATTACGTTTCCATGCGGCAGAGTATGTTTGTATTCACGCATTAAATAAACATTTCCTGTAAAAATTCCTATGCGTGGGGAAAGACAAATAAAAGCGGTAAACTAGATGTGGCGTGTTATCAGCTGCAAGTCGCCAAATGAATCGTTGTCTGGTGTTATCGTGGATAAGCACGAGGGACACCCCCTAAAAGAGCGTGTGCAGGGCGCATAGTGATAATACGTTTAAGTTTACACCCTTTCATGAAAATAAGTTTAGAGAAGACGACTAATGCCGTGACGTGAAGTGTCCTACAAAAATTAACCTGTGGGATCATTTATGTTTCCCCCTAGTCATTATTCTGCATGGCAACATTCACACTGACAGCTGAGAACCAGGATGTTTTAACGTGAACAAGCGATTGAAGGTATATTTAGAGAATCGTGCCCCCTCCAGGCCACGGACAGTGCCCGGCGAAGGGTGAGTGGCACCGGGTAGGTGCTGCAACCACGTGACAGAACACGTTGCACTTTAACACGGTTTGGAGCGAGATACAGCGGGCTGATCGCTGGCTGCGGGGTCCGGCCAGCTGCACTTACTGGGGTGTGATGTGAGCACTCCCACACCGAAATGGAGTTTCTTGTAAGATACAGTGAAGCAAGTGATTCGATACGGTAAGGGTTGCCTTTCGGGAGCGTATTGATTGAAGTACAATAGGTTCTGATAACTGTTTAAATTGGTACTGCTTTATAATAAAAAAAAATAAAGTCTGAGTACGTGCTTCGAGGTTGACCTGAACGCGATTCCAATGGCTCAAACTGATTTTACGCTTCACGCGTGTGCAAAGTAACTTTTGGACGTCCGGGGAATGTAAGCTGGCTGCAAGCGCTTTAATTCTCACTCGATGATATTTAACCACGGCGTTAAAAAAAAACTCAGTTACGGTCAGTTCAATAGTTCCGCTTTTGCTTGGTCGATGAAGTTGTTTTTTTTTTTTTTTTTAAGTTTTATCTGTTCAAGTCCAAAGTATATTAAGATAGAAAGCCCATGCATTCGTTTGTTTAACATGGTTTCTAATTGAAAACGCACCTGAGGTTAATAATTTTCAAGAACAGCGGAATGGGTGTCCTTTCCTGTTTCGTTTGCGTTAAACGCCCTCAAAACCGAACGCTACACTTAAGTCACCAACTCCCGAAGTTGGAGAACATTTAACGTCCAATTTATTATTAAATGTTTTCCAGTAATACTTCATATTTATAGTGATTCCCGCTGTTGAACGGTCCATTAAAAATCTTGTCGGTATGATGTGTCTTTAAACGGATACGAACGGATCCTGTTAGGTTGCAATTCATTTCCAAAAGGACAAGGTTCTTCATTTCCCCCTTTGGTTATTTTAAAACAAATTATTATTATTATTATTATTATTATTATTATTATTATTATTATTAGGACATTCCTTTCTCTGAGGAAACCAGTATACATTGATTTATTTATTATTTTTATTATTATTTTTTTTTGCAGTACCACAATAAGCTCTGATATGTTAGAGGATGAGGAAAAGGCATTAAGGGATGACCTAAAATACTACTTCATGAGTCCCTGTGAGAAGTACAGGGCACGTGGGCAGATCCCATGGAAGCTTGGAGTTCAGATACTGAAAATCATTATGATCACCACACAGGTAGGCCTAATAAGCATTTCACACGGCGCTGATGGCTGCGATCTTGCATTAACAACTGACTCGTGAATCCACACTTGTGGAACCGATAAAAAGTGCAAGTGTAATTTTATTGATGCATTTCATTTTAAGCATTAGTTAAAAAAGACCACGCTGTCGGGACAGGTAAATTACTGTGGAAATCCAGTTACAAAGTCCACAGCAATTTGATTACCTTTATTAAGATGCAAGTCCGCTTCTCTTGCCAGAACTTTAAACCTGCTCTTTGATTTGTGGAAGTATTGTCAAGGGTTGTAACTGTGCTTTTTTTTGTTTCAAAGCTTATCCTTTTCGGCTTGAACAATCAACTTGTGGTTTCCTATAAGGAGGAGAACACGGTGGCTTTCAAGAGTTTATTCCTGAAAGGCTACACCGGTGTTGATGAAGATGATTACAGCATCGCCCTATACACGCAGCAGGCAGTTTCCGACAGTCTGTTCCACGTGATAGAGCAAGTATGCGTTTTTTTGCTTGTATTGTGTGTTTTGAAGGAAGCTGAAGTGCAAAAGCCTGGTCACTGAACAACTACATCGACTGTATGTGTCACTGGAGTTTAGTCAGTTACGCAACGTCTGTTTTTGTTTGGCTTTCCCCTTTAACTGTTTAATTTTATAGCAGTTCAGTATTTTAGACGGTGGCAACAATTCTCTAGCCCTCAACGACCTAGAAGGTTGTGTTTTTAATGGTGTTTCATGTATTTAAACTTGAGCATGTAATTTATTAATGGGAGGTGAGTTTGAAAGGAGATGTTTTTAGCTAGTCTTGGCGTAGCGGAGTTCGCTTTACCCGGTACCCAAAGTGAACTTGTCCTGTAGTGCCACCTGCTGGAAAGTATTAGTAAAGACAACTGCAAAAAATGACTCCAATGCAATGTGCGCATTGCATACAGCACGCACACGGATATTTTATGCTTTCAGTATGCCCAGTTAAAGGACCTCTCCGTTGGACCGGTGAATTATGCTCAGAAAGATGACACGTGGTGGCCCATCAAGATCTGCAAAGAGCACTACGAGAAAGACAGCGAAGAATTATACAACATCAAAGCCCAAACTGAAAAAAGTTGGTGCTCCTTACTTCAGTATAATTACTTTTGTTTGAGTTGTTTATAAACATCTTTTACATGTGTATGCATTCAGGGGAGGTGTGTGTTTCAGTGGGTTAGTGCTTGTGGTCAGATGGTCACTGGTTCGAGCCTCGGTAGAATAGTCACATCTCCGTTTGGCCCTTGAGCCAGACCCTTTACCCTCCACCACATAAAACGCCTATTCCTTTGCTTGGACCCCAATCTTCATTCTGATCTGTATACATGTTTGTCTCAAAGGAGAGCAAGATGGGATTTTCAAAAAGAAGCTTTCCCTTGTACCTGCGCAAATGCTGAATAGCACAATGTCATTTTAATATCTCAACAGTTTGCTTGGAATTCAATCCAGTCACGCTGAATGATGACAGATGGAAGCGTGACAACGCGTCTTTCTTTGTGCTGGATTTTTACAGGTACGAATACAATTCATGTGAATACATTTAACTAGGTCAATTTTTCATTGACTTAAAATGTCTAATATCGTCCCTTCAATGCAGGCTGGTCAACGTTAAGATCACGTTCAGGCTGAAAGCAGTCAACCTCCAAACGATCCAAGTGCGCGAACTACCGGACTGTTATGATTTTCTCGTCACGGTAATCGCTTTTGATTTCTAATGAGGTTATGCTGACTTTCGTTATGGATGTACCTTGTGTAATGTCTGTTGCATTAAGATACAGTAAAATCCCGTTATAGCGGACTCTCTTATAACGGAATAGCGTGTATGACGGACGAGGTCCTCTGGCCCCGGCCGTGCGCCTTTAAGAACATGCAGAAAAAGCATTGGATATAGTGGTCTCCCATATAACGGAATTTCGCTTATTACGGACAAACAATTTGGTCCCCAGGGCCGCTTTTAGCTGTAGTTTTGTCCGGCTATAACGGACATGCAGCTCGGCCTACAAGGCGCCTGGCGTGCCGGTGATATCCAGCACAGATACATAGTCGGGATTATTAATAGTCACGCATCTGGTCAGGTAAAGTTGGATTACTACATGTACAATATAATCTGTGCCACAAGTGTCTGCTGAGGTGTGGCATGAGTAAATGGTGTCCTGTAGTTGTGTTCTGGGCGTACAGCAACTCTGGATATAATGGACTGTTTTGCCAGGTCCCTTGAAGTCCGTTATAAATGGATTTTACTGTATTTGTAAATGATGCCATGATGTTTTACTTGCAGATTGCTTTTGATAATCACTGCCACAGTGGACAAATCAAAGTGTACTTTGATATCAATGCTCTCAGCAGCATATGCAAAAACTGGAAGATTTCCGGAACAGGTAAATGATGTTTAGTATCTTATTTTTTTCCCCTCTTGGTCTGAGACCCACTTTGTGCAGTTCAAATGCCTTCTGGACCCTTGTGTTCACTCGAATGCATATGCATGTTATTCATTTTGTAAAAACTACAGAAGGTCTACTTGAGTATCTCATTAGGTTGGTCCTTGAATGCATGTATTATAGGACAGACTGTATAGGGGCAGTAATCACGAGGCTCAAATGAACCAAAAGCAGAACTTGGAAAAGGTCCATAATTGCACCTTGTACCAATTATATTATGTTGCGTTTAAAAAATAAAAAATAAATAACATGGTGTAATTCCATAACCAATAGCTCTAAAAACCTATGTTGAGGACCCTGTCAGTGCCGATTTTAAATAAACCCAGTGAGAGTTGAAACAGCCTAGTGTTGTTGGTCTGGGCTGAGCTGCAGCTCTGCAGATGGTCTGAAGACTCCTGAATGGAGCAGTGGCCCAAAGGCACATGCTATCTGTTTACCTTTCCTCGTGTCACATGTTGCTGTTTCCAGCCCAGAAGAACCCGCATTATCTTCTGGTGTTTGATAGCATCATTATTATGGTCTGTCTGTCATCTGCGGTGCTCTGCACTCGCTCTATCTTCCTGGCAGTGAAGCTGCTGCAGGTGAGTCCTTCCCTTCTCCTCTCTCCGTATTAATTTGCCCCCCCCCCCTTTGCCCAGCTGCCTGACGCTGTCTTTCTCCTTGCCCAGAGGTTTTCCAGGTTTTTCCACGTGAACTTTAAACGCGTGGTGTGTGAGGACGACCAACGCGAGTTCTTGAACGGCTGGTACGTCATGGTCATCATCAGTGATTCTTTGGCCATAGTGGGGTCTATCTTGAAGATGGAAATACAGTCCAAGGTAGTTCCAAAATGCAGTTCTCATTCTATATATATATATGTGTAGAGAAGCGAAAGTTTATGGTTTGACAGGATGAGCCAGTCATTTTGATACCAAGAGTATTCTAATGGTCTAGTCGACCTTTGTCTCTTAACCCATGACTGTTGACACCATATACCATGCATGAAAGTTGTTATTTTGAGTTTCTATGATTTAACATGCATATCACTTCAGGCCCCTAGACACGACAGCTATGTAACCCAGACTTTTTAAAAATCACTTAAGATGTCAACTCGCATGTCAGTGGGCTTTAATCTTCATCCTTTTCCTCTTCCTGCAGAATCTCACAAGCTATGATGTCTGCAGTATCTTCCTTGGAACGTCCACGTTGCTGGTGTGGGTGGGAGTGATCAGATACTTGGGCTACTTCCAGAAATATAATGTAAGGAAATGGGAGGGGGCTGTTGGGCGGAGCTTATTTCAGCCACGCCTTCTGGGATGTGCAGAGCGTGACGCTGTTCGTGTTGTAGGTGCTCATCCTCACCATGAAGGCCGCCTTCCCCAAGGTCCTGCGCTTCTGCTGCTGTGCAGGCATGATCTACCTCGGATACACCTTCTGCGGCTGGATTGTCCTTGGACCTTACCATGAAAAGGTATGTGTATAGTGTCTGTGCTGTCGGCGTTGTTGACACTGGTTCTGCACGTTAGGCCTGTTAAAGTCCCTCGGCTGGCGGAGTTGTTTGCATTGGGACATTGAACAAGGCCTTTTACCCCAGTTGCTCCAGGGACGTGGCCTGATCCTGCTCTCTGATCCTCATCTGTACCGAAATGTCAGTTTGGACAAAAGCATCTGCTAAAGATCGGTTTTCAATAGGACAGGTTTACTTTTCCAGTGACACGGGGGCAATTCAAGCTCAAAATTCCCGTCCAGGGTACAACTCCTCGTGAACTCCTCGTGGACTTATGACCAGATGTGATGTTGTTCATGCACAAACTAATGTGACTCTTAACATGGAGTGTCCTGGTAATATGGGTTATAGGTAACTGCTGCTTTTAGTCTCCCACTAAATGGGTCATTAAATGTTATCCAGGTGGTATATCTCTAAAAAATCTTTTTTTTTTTTTTTTGGGGCCATAACACTCTAAATGGTTTAGAGACACAATCATTCTGCGTGCAACTTAAAAATAAATAAATAAATAATAAATTAGCCTAGTTCCAAACATTTTTACTGTTATGTTTTTTTGTCTCTGCCATGTTGGAAATTCCCTCCTAATCTGAAATGAAACAAACCTCATTCATTACAAGGACTGTGAGCCTAATTAGCTGATCAGGCCACGTGACTGAAGAGGTCAGTCGTTATGGCCAGCACTGCCTTCCTTGTGAGGTTCCCACAAAGTCTGTGCATATAGTTTTCAGACTTTGGTCTGTTGGTGCTGTGGAGTTGTAAATAAGGAAGTGAAAGTGTACAATCCATCCACATATCCTGCAGCCACTTACCCAGTACAGGGTTGCAGTGAGCCTGCAGCTTCGGTAAAGCAGGGAACACCCTGGATGGGATGGCAGCCTGTTGCAGGGAATCCGTAAAACTGTAGAATAGTGTCTGATATAAAGTCACATACAGCTCGGACCCTGAGATATTACCATTAAGCAATGATAGATGCTTTACTAGGGAACATCACATGGATTTATCAAATAGGTAATAAATGCTCTCAAAAAATCTCAAGATGTGGGGGGGAAAAGACTTCTGATGTCTGACTAAAATAAGATGCATTTAAATCACGAAACTCACCTCCTCACTGATGCTGGTTAATCATTGAGTGTAACTTCACTGTACTAAACATGCTAGGGTCTGACTGAACATCAACCACGTAGCCTTCACCTGCCACGTGTCCCACATCGCCGCCCCCCACGTAGCAGCATTGCACCCTTCCGATCCTCTGCTCTCTCGTTTTCAGTTTGAGGGCTTGAGCCGAGTCGCCGAGTGCCTGTTCTCCCTGGTGAACGGGGACGACATGTTCCCCACGTTCGCTCAGTTCCAGGAGAAGAGCATCCTGGTCTGGCTCTTCAGTAGGGTATACCTCTACTCCTTCATCTCGCTCTTCATCTACATGGTGCTCAGCCTCTTCATTGCTCTCATCACCGACTCCTACGAAACCATAAAGGTGCTCCTTTGGTCGTCTTCGTGCCGTGGACACAAAGGCACGCACTCGATTTGTGCCAGTGATCCCATTTCCCACTTAGAAATCCTGAACCATTCAGGGAGATCACATTATACCTACATCTTTCTTGCATATACTTATTGTGTTTGTAGAATTACCAGAAGAATGGTTTTCCTATGACTGACCTTCAGAAGTTCCTGAGCGACCAGAGGGATTTTCCTTGCTCTGAGGGACCAAGAGAAATCAACTACTGGGGGCTTTGCTGCTGCAAAAGGTAGTATCGCGCCATGCTTCGGGGAAGACATTTGCGACATGAGGAATGTGCACACACCCTTCGATGAAAAGCCTCGTTCCCACCTAAGGGGATCGAATTACAGACGACAAAATCACGTGTGCCTGCAGAAACCTCCTTTTTTATGTACTTTCATACTTGCATGCAGGTTGAAGCTGACAGAGGTTTAACAGAAGTTATGAAAGACTTTTGTGCAAAAAGCTAGACACTTGTAATTGGCGAGCTGTTTGTCAGTGGTTTTACTTGGTTCTAGATATGAGTTTGTTTTGTAGATTCCTACTGTAATTAATGTTAATGTCATTATGATCTGTTCACACAGGCTCCCGAAAGATGATGGTATCTTGCTTATCTGCTGAAAATGGCTGTTCTGGATGGCAGGAAATGAGGGTGGACCTCTCTGAGTTTGAGACCAAAAACACAGATATCACTGGGGGTTGGGCTGGGCTATGCTGAAGAACACGGCCACCTGAGAACCCAGAGACGACCTAAGACACCTGAATGTTGAATGCTACATATTGCTGGTCAACAGCAGAACTGGATAGTTCAGATCCAGAAAGTAAAAATCCAGACCAAGATTTTGTTTAAACAAAGTCATAATCCTCAATGAGTTGGTTGAAACCAAAATCTTGGTCTGGATTTTTACTTTCTTGACATGAACTATCCACCTCTGGTCAACGGTAGCCTTTCAAGCTCAGAATACACATTTATTCACTGCAAAAGGGATTACTGTGCCTGGTGATTTATAGGGTCAATCAGTCATAATGCAAAGGCAATTTTTGCCCTCTGTAGGCAGAAAGATGTTGACCCCAAGGTCCTGGTGCGATGCTCTGATTTGCTGATGGTTTCTCTTGCCCGTTAGTCAGTTGTTTTATACATATTTGCAATCTGTATATTTGTATTGGCGTGCTACCTGCATAGGTGCACCTTTGCTGAAAAGTGCAATAATTTCTGTTCACGTCTTGCTTGATCTCAATGGAGACTGAATATACTTAAGTGTTTACACCAAGCTGTACGTGTGCACCGAGTCTTGCTTTGCCTGTGTCTGCATAAAAGCTGTTGTGTCTTTTAACGTCTCTTTGCTTGTCTTATTTCAGGGCAGCAGTTCACAATCCCAGGTCTTATGTTTCACCCAAACTTTGCTTCATACAAGCATGCTTGACTCGTCTTTCAGTTTGAATCCCTAGTCTTTAGTATGAGGCCATTCAGCCATTACCTTAAATACGAGGAACTGAGGTGGGTAATATAGGAGTCCCACGCTGAAAAACAAAAGCACAAACATACTAATTGTGCAGGGAAATGTTTGTTTATATGGTCTTTCTATATCGCTGATTTTCACCTATTGCTGACGGGTCTGGAACAACTTCGGCGGTAGGAGGGGGATAACTAGCTAATTTTGGGTTTATAGTGGAATACTATAGATCTGCCATAAGATTTCTTGGGTGAGAGTGAAAGCGTGAGTGTTACGCCTGATGCGTGAGAGTTGGCAGCCCTGAATATTTGGGCCCATCAAAAAAGTCAATATCAATCCATCATGTTCCTACAGATAGGCTACTTGCCTAAAGTACGTTTACAGTTTAAAAAAAAAAAAAAAAAAAGCTGCTCGCAGGGCAGGGTACACTAGAAGGGACGCCAGGTCTCGCAGAAACTAAGGTTTTGTCGGATGCAAATTGGCCATGAGCCGTATAAGGAGTCAGTCCTTTCCTTTCACCACGATATTGTCAGTGCCTCGGGAAAATGCGCGCCTGTCTGAACATGCTCGCCGACCCAGACCGGCGAAAAAACCATAAATGTGACAACAGCTATACAACTCGAGGTGAATTCCGTGACCAGCAATCGGCATCTTAATCTTATAAAAGCTGCCTAAATATTATGGACGTCTCTTCAGTTTGCCCTGGCATCGGCCAGCAACTACTAGACCATTATTAGACTATTAACGCCAGTACCCTCAAGGCAGATAGGCGCCAGGCTGCAAAATGGAAACCAGTACAGCATTACATCCTTTAAAAAAAATGTAAGTAATTGTTTAGACATCTTTTTAGGTTAAACGTCCTTATTTGCACATCGCCAGATGATTGCGAAAGTGGTGAGGACTAGTGAGGGTTGATCAACATTTCTCGGCCCCCCCCGTCTCATCCACTATCGTTATGGACCACCCCTCAGCACACACGCCCCCGACCTCCCCCAGCAAGGTGAGGGAATGAAAGGCTCCAGACTTCCGCGGAACCATCGTTTCAGACAGCTACGTGCAGGTTATTTATATCACAGAAGCGAGCACGATTACTCCGTTAATGTAATAAATGCACTTAAACGGAATGGTTTACTGAATTACCGGCGCCCCTAAACCTGGAGTCTCCCGCAAGTCCGAAGTGGACGGAGTGTAAGGTAAGTTTATCCTGCAGGGATCTCTGCACAGTCTCATTATCATTTAACGGTGTTTTGGTTTCGATACTAGAAACTCCTTTCGCATTTAATTCCTTGAGCTCCTTGTGCCTCGCCCTACAGTTACTTTTTAATCTTCCCTATGCTTACAGAAATGTACATTTTTGCTTAATTAAATATGTTTAGCGATGCCCACCAGCTGAGCGTTTTCTTATGTTTCCGTCAATTTCCCTTAATTTCTACAGCAATTAAAAATATGAAGTAAACGGATATGAAACAGCCATTATGCAAGCAATTACTAATAGTAATATAGATTATTATTTTTTTAATTTACCTGGATGCCAATGTAATTTTTCTATATTACATACGGAGGGGAAAAATAAGTCGTAAATGTACAATTTCAAAATCAGACATGGTTTTTATGATTTTTATACTTGCGATAGGTTAATACTAGAGTTTGTTAGCGATTTGCCCATAGAAAGGCATTGAGTAGACTCTATTATCTTCATCAGATTGTTTTTTTCCTTTTTGTTATGGTTGAAGATATATGGGCATTGAAAATGGACTGTAAAAAAATTCAGGTTCACTATTCGGACAGTTTTTCCCTTTATTTGAAAGCCAAAGATCCGTATACTGATCTTACTGCTATCTAGAAGACTAATGTGGCTTTGCTATCGCAATTGTTACTTCGTCTCTGAAACTTAGCCTTGGCACAGAATTTCCTCTTTTATGTTTTAGAACAGAGCCACCTTCCTCAGTTTTGAAGCCGTTACTAAGAAATGGCCAACAACATATCCTGTGACCGCAACCAGTCCATGGCCGCCTTCTATGACCTCCACCAAAAGGAACTAAACTGGACTGACACGCAGCTGGTGGTGGTGAGGTCCTTTGGTTCTCTGCTCTGCAGCTTCATCCTGGCGTCAAACGGGCTGGCCGTCGCTGCTGTGGTCATCAACCGCAAGTTTCACTTTCCCTTCTACTATCTCCTGGCCAATCTAGCGGCGTCGGACTTTCTCGCCGGAATAGCATATATCTATCTGATGTTTAACACCGGCCAGGTGTCCCGAACGCTGACTGTGAACATGTATTTCGTGCGACAGGGATTGCTTGATATTAGCTTTTCGGCGTCCCTGGCTAACCTACTGATCATAGCGCTGGAGCGCTACATCGCCATCATGAGCTGGAGGCTTCACAGCGGCCTCACCAAGCGGCGGGTCTCCCTGCTGATCATGCTCGTCTGGGCCGTCGCCCTCTTCCTGGCCGCTGTGCCCAGCCTGGGCTGGAACTGCCTCTGCAACCTCGAGGACTGCTCTGCGCTCGCTCCCATCTTCAGCAAGAGCTACCTCGTCTTCTGGTCGCTGTCGAACCTGGTCGTGTTTTTGGTCATGGTGGTGATCTACACACGGATGTATGCGTACGTGAAGAGGAAGACCGTCGCTCTGTCCCCGAATACCAGCTTAAACCGCAGGAGGATGCCAATCAAGTTCATCAAGACGGTGATGACGGTTCTAGGTGTGTTTTTTTGTGTTTCTGGTGCTCAGGTGTCAGAATTATTAGTCCAAGCCTCAACAATGGACGTTCCACAGTATTTCTTAGTTCTAAAGCCTTGTTCACAAAGCTTGGTGATATTTGCCCAGTAAGCCCCCAAGGAAAATGATCCCTTTTGTAAATAGAATAGAATAGTGGTACTTTATTAATCCCTGTGGAGAAATTCATTTTCTCCACTTTGCCCCATCTTGCTCTCCATATAGATGTGAGCAAGGTTGGGAGTCACAGTGAAAGGCAGCCACCTTGCGGTGCCCCTGGAGCTGGGGGTTAAGAGCCTAAGTCAAGGGCCCTCTGACATGTGACTCTCCTGCCGAGTCTCAGCCAGACGCCGCCCCCAAGAGTAGAGTGGAGTTGCTTACTGTTGTACCTTCAGCCCCAAATCTAACCTAAGAAGTAGAACTTGACTGTCCATTCATGACATCACGGTGGTCGGTCTTGGTTTATATATTTGCTTGTTTATACCGCTGGATATTCCCTGTGAGCAGATGGGCTCCCCGGGATCTGAGAGACAGCCTTTGGGTTCCACCAGCGAAGGGGCGCCCACACGCCGCGGGGTCTGCACCGAGTGCCCCTCGTCTGTTTACTGCACTGACATAAACAGGATGCTGCCCTCAATTAGCGTCTCCCCAGTGACCAGCGCACACGTGCGAATAACGTGACATCAAGCCAGTCTCATCTATAGTTTTGGAGGAATTCACTGCCAAGTGGTGGCTGATATTCTACAAAAATATCTTAACTCAAGGTGAAGATCTTAGTGTACAGTGGAAATCAGGAAATGTCCAAGGCACTCGACTCAAAACACTACCATTGACTTAGCAGGAAAGACACAGGGAGATTCTGCCCCCCCCCCATAACCTCCACCAAAAAGAGACAGTTGTGAAGTGTGCACATTTAAGTAAAGACCAGGTGTGGGTGGTGATGGACTGCATAGGTGTGAATCATCGTATAGTAAGATATGGGTGTAATTTAAGTGTGGGGGGGGGGTGAGAGATCTGTCATAAGGATGTCGTTTTCATTTAAGGATGCTGAATTACCATTCTTCATTGTTCTCAAATTCCACTCTCATTGTAAATATATACTCAGCCTCTGAGAGAGAGATATGAATTTAAATGAATGGCATTGAATGTGAAGATGATATGAATTCCACATCCCTAAATGCGGATTTATCTGGTTTTGGCCCAGTTATCACATTTTGGTAGTAAATTATTTGAGGACTCATTCTTGGTAATACACAGGATATACTGTATATGATCATGTTTTTCATATCATTATCCTTTTTAGAAGTTAAGTAAAAGTATTTATTTAATGTTAACAAAGCAGCTCATGTAACCTAATTGATAAAGAAATTAATTTAGCTGTATTGTTAACTAATATGAAGTTTTCTATCAGACTGAATCTGGGATAGAAGTTATAATGAGATGACATTGAGTAAGGTATGTTAGTTTATGGAAAACCAATTACAGGTATGAGTTTTCCTGTCAACGCAACATTTACAGACAGACAATATTCACAGCTGGGAGGAAGACCTTTTATAATATTCAGAAGGAAAATCGAACCAGAATGACTTGCTGAATGACACCCCCTTGTGGTCAAGTGAGTCAATTAGGCAATGATACAAAAATGTCCCACAGTCACAAAGGCACGCCCCTGGGCAGCAGTTCCCTGTATTTAATTATTTATTCCTTTGTGGAAAGGATGAAGTCATCCATTCCCCATTTATGCATATCAGTATCTCAGCCTCCTTCAGGTCTAACCCTGAAAATGCCGTCTTGATGTGTTATCCTGGTAGCAGAGTGTAAGGAACTTTCTGGTACTAGGAAGTCTTCATTGAGATCTGCTCCGTCTCCCACCATGGGCGTCATTAGGTCCGATCACTTGGGACTACAGCCCCGAGTATTTTAATCCCAGCCCCGAGTATTTTAATCCCAGCACTGAGTATTTTAGCCCCGATGCCAATCTTCCTTCAAAAAAAAAAAAAGAAAATCCCCGGGTAAATTTGACTTGGATCTTCTCAGTAGCTAGAAACTCCCCTGTCTTCCACAATACTCTGAAGTTTCTGGTTATATATCACTGTTTTTACTCCATCTGGACGAGTGGAAGATGATGGATTTTTCTGAGCATCCACAGTGTACACTGGAGTGGTGTGTGGACTGTTTCAGGAAAAAGGTTTACAGACTGTATTAATATAATGCCCTTGGAAGGCATGATGTCTCAGTCTCTTACTTATTTCTCACTCACCTCTCTCTCTCTCAGGGGCCTTTGTAATCTGCTGGACTCCTGGATTAGTGATCCTTCTGATGGATGGCATTAACTGTCAGAAGTGCCAGGTGCTGAAGTTCAAAACTTGGTTTCTTCTCCTTGCCACCCTCAACTCAGTGATGAACCCCATCATCTACTCCTACAAGGACAAGGACATGTGGAGGACCATTAAAAACATCATATGCTCTTTGGCTTGCCTCAGGCACAGGGGCCGGCCAAGGAATAGCCAGCGGGGCCTGAAGCCCCATTCAGACACTCTTCCCATCCAGGAAATGGGAATCGAGAGCCAGTGCTCGGTCGAGGAGAAACTTCAGGACTGAACCTACCGTGAGCCCGAAAGGGAACAAGGAAATGTTAACCCTTCTGTTCAATCGCTTCAGATGAATTTGGACCCATTGGCCAAAGACATGGCCTACTGGAGATGCATGGTGTCTAAATTGCCTTGGAATTTGCTTTTGATGGCTTAAAGAACTGCCTTCAGAGAATTTTGATGGGGGTATCAGTGCTTGAAGTGGGTCAGTGCACACCAGTACACAGTACCAGCACCTCTTTGTTTTTCTCTTCAGAGTACAGGCATCTCTCAGTACCTGCTGGTACTGAATAGCAAGAGGAATACCGGTACCTGGCATTGACTAATAAGTGGAGTACCGGTACCTGGTACTGAACGACAAGGAGAGTACCAGCACCTGGTACTGAATGTCAAGTGGAGTACCAGTATCTGGTTCTGAATGACAAGGGGAGTACCAGTATCTGGTTCTGAATGACAAGAGGAGTACCATCACCTGGTACTGAATAACAAAGGGAACCTGTTTTGCCTAACTACAAGTACTGGGGGTGGGGGGATGGTTATAGATTTCCTTTTAGGAAATAGTTGGGGGGGAGCTTTTACAAAACAAACTTTGCAGATGTTTTCAAAAATTATTCTATTATTTTTATTAATTTTGTTATAGACAGACTTCAATTTATAGTAAATATCAATGGGTTCCACAAATGTCAATCCGCCTTACTTAGAAAATTACCACAATCACTACTATCACAATATACAGGGTTTCATTTTGATACTGGTATCTTTGTTGTGCTCATCATACCGCCTACAGAAGTTTTGTAAGATGTAAATGTTTGAGTGAATCAGTGTGTGTTGCAGGTTGACCCTGAAAACACAAGAAAAGTCATTGATCAGTTCAGCAGAGTCTATATTAGCTGATGTCCTGCCCTGGTTGCTCCCCTGTCTTGGGCCCTGTGCATTCTGGGATAGGCTCCAGGTGCCCCCAAGACCCTGACCAGGATAAGCGGTGTGAAGATAGATGGATGTCAGTTCTAACCACATAGACTAAAACCAGTTGTTTATTCCATTGGTTCTATGTGACCCAAGTCTGCATGGAACATTAAACTCACGTACTAATAGGCCTAGTTATTGTCATACTCTCCGATGCTTCTGGACTCCTGTCGGGTAACTTTGAGGATGCCGTTATCAAGGTGTGATCTGTCTTGACTGTCTTCCACACTTCTACAAAATTCAGGTGCTATTTCAATGATTTATCTCTTGAAACTTCAGCTGCAAACAATGTGGCAGGTTTATTATCACGACATTGTCCTGGTCTAGCATGTCAAAAAACAATCTCCCTGTGGACATTGTATGGAGGGGTGTGTTATGACTTCCGAATATGAGAATCGTATGTAACCTGAAGCCTAAACTGAAACTGTATGCTTCTGGGCCATAAATGAGTCACTGAAAAGTAGCCCCAAAATATGGGTATTCAGTCCATTAAATGCTGCTCAGGGACAACACTGTGGTTTAAGGTTTCTTGTTCCATTAGGAGCCTGAGTATGTCTGTGCATGTAAAAATGACTGGAGGGGAAAGCAGAAAGTAGTTTGTTTTGAAACCTAAACGACCTGTGGCCTGTACTACGAAGCAGGGTTACTGGCTTATCGGGGTAACTTGTCGGATTTGAGGTAGTCTGGGCAAAATGTAAGTGAACGAATATGAAGTCCATTTAGACTGTGGTAGCTTAAATCCCCTGTATTCCTCTCCAAATAAATGTACAGTACTGCGTAAAAGTCTTAGGCAGTCAAAAGAAATGTTTTCAGCTATTTATCCAGGTAGTAAGTATACTTTTGCTAGGAACAAAAAAACACAGTTTAGCATTAGAACATATGCAAATTAAGGATAACACCGTAAAATCTAGTAAGATTACCCCGATAAGCCAGTAACCTCGCTTCGTAGTACAGGCCACTGTGCATCTTGTTTCAACAACAAACAACAACGATAATAATAATAATAAATAATCCTAACAAAAACAATAAGGTTCCATAGCACTATGTGCTTTGGACCCTTAATTATTATTATTATTATTATAATAGTAATAATATTAATAAATGCATCTGCAATTCCCTAACCAGCTGCCCTGTTTCCCACATCAGCTCCTTGATTTATTACACCCTGGAGCAAAGTAGGTACTCAAACTAAATCTCTGAAGTATAAAATTAGAAGTTAAAAGTACACAGCACTGTATGAGAGTCTTAGGCAGCCTGAGAGACTGCTGTCTACATGGTTTACATGGTCTTTATGTTGGTGTAAAACTATGTTACTATGCCTGCCAAAGTGTGTCAGCTTAGCCAGTTCTGCTAAAATCACCCCAGTATTTCCAGCAATCATCCAGCGCACCCATGGGTTTTTGACCACTAGCACACCTCATATAGCTAATCAATATCTCATTGACTTTTTAATTAAATAAAGTAATTAAGTGAGCTGGTGGTGAAATTTAATGAATACACGGAATGGCTGAGGTGCCCCTGAGGAGAGGTTTGGGAACCGAAGTGGTGTTCATCTAGTCATCCAACTAGATATCAGTGACTTTTTGGAGAAGAAATTCTTACTAGATTTTACGGTGTTATGCTTAATTTGCATATGTTCTAATGCTAAACTGTGTTTTTTTGTTCCTAGCAAAAGTGTACTTACTACCTGGATAAATAGCTGAAAACATTTCTTTTGACTGCCTAAGACTTTTACGCAGTACTGTACATTTATTTGGAGAGGAATACAGTTAGCTGAATTGATGTCCTGAAATTGCATGCTCTGTGCTTGTGTGTGTGTACCCCCCGTCCAGTGACCCTATCCAAAATAAGCAGGTGGAAGATGGATGGATGAACATGTCGAAATTTAACTTGACAGTAGGACCTTGACATGGAGAAATACAGAAAATAACTCCCACTCCTACTAGTTCAGTTTATTTTCTATGTTTATGTTTCATAAACTATTTTAATATTATGTTTGTCAATCTCAGTCTCAGATGTAAAGTACAGATAGCTTTTAAAATTTATTTAAATTCATTGAATATTAACCATGTTTCTCCTCAACCAGACCTAACAATACTTCACAATACTACTGAAACGTATGACGTAAAACATGCCAAATCTCGTTTACCGCCTTAATGAATTACTCATGTTAAAGGAGCAGCCTTGTTTCCAGACCCTCCTGCTCAGTGAGGATCACTGCCCTTGTCCCAGATATTCTACCAGTAGCAGGTGAAACCTGTAATAATGAATGAGTGGTCAAAGAAAACTGTATTAATGTTCATACATTCTGATGTTTTTCTTACTGATTGTGACAAATAAACAGCAACCACTAAGCATATATGCTGGAGGGGCAGGGTCAGTCAGGTCCCACGGGGGTGGGGCTGGGGGCTGGGGGAGGGTGTATCTACACCCAACTGGATGGCATTCAAATAATGAGGTAAGGCCCCAGCTGCTTTGTGCTGGTGGGGGGCTTATGTAAGCTAATTGCTTCCATTTACTGGCCTCCAGAAGCACATGTCACCCTGGCCCCGTTTTGTGCTGCCTCTATCACAATTAGGGCCCTACACTATGTCATATAATATATCTACTTTTATACATGAGTACAGAACCATTCAGAATGAGGGGCAGCATGAAATAGGAAATATCCAGAACACTAAAGCTTTGTGTGTATGTGCCTGTTTTTTAAAAATCTGTTTCTGCCTATCGTGTTTATTTTGGTGGTTCCTCTGGCAACGCACACAGTTATGCAAATGAAAATCTGACACAATTTGCAATTAAGATGTAACTGCAAGGGCACTAGTCCAAACTACGCGATCCTCGCTTTAACTCTGCCCCCCTCTATAGTCGTTATTTGTTAGTTTATTTTTTACTATTTCAAATCTGCAACTTTGGAAAATATAATAAAAAAACACCACAAAAACCACGCTATAATTACAAAATTGGTTCGGAGACAGGACGGTCATTGCTTATTCGCAAAATACCTTCTACCTAGGTACCAGCACTGCCTATGTATATAGCGATTATATATATATTTAACTACAAGTGTAAATATATAGTTAAATTATGAAGCCTAGTGGCTGGGCGTCGTCCAATAGAGTGTACAGGTATTGGTTGCTTGACAACACAGTGGCCAATGGCAGCCGTGCTTCTTGTTGCGCCCGGTAGTCGTTAGGCTTCAAACCTGCAAGCCAACCTGCGCTCGGCTGATAGGAGGGAGTTGGTGGCCAGTCATGGACCAAGACTAACGAAATACGTCCCAGGCAGCGGCCGGTGGGCTCGGTTTCGGCGTTTTCATCGTTTTCATCGTCGCCACGTTTCGGACACGTCCGGTGTACACAGAGTGAGTTTTAAATAATTAGAAGAATAAAAATCCGATCACTAACCGTCAGTCGCTGGTTATTTGAATGGGTTTGCTCGGAATGTTTAGTATCGGAGCCGGATATTAAGGTGATAAGCCACAGTATGTTTTAGAAAAATACGATTGATTGTTTTGAAGTGCTGCCGATCTGGGCTATATCTAGGATTTAGGCGCACAGGTGGTGTAACTAGGTTAGGTCTGCGAAGTAGGCGACTGCATGAGATAAGGTGGATGAGCACCTGTATACCTGCGTGGGCTCCCTAAATCCCGGAAAGGTGTAGAGGATGGTGGAGGAAACCATGTTGATGTATCATTTTGGAAATACGCTGTAAATCCGTGATAAACTTGTATTTTATGGTATCAGTGTGTGTGTAAGGGGTCAGTAAATCATGACGGCTGGTGAATGTGTGTCAAAGTCCTGCGTGGCGTCCTCATTTTAACCTGATCGGGTTGACTCCTCTAAACAGTACATCGTAAACAGTCCGGGTTAGGTACCGCAGATAATCCCCCCCACCCAGCCCCACTGTCTGTCGCAGTTCACGCGATTCGGTTAAGTACTCTAGTTTCTAGTTTGCTTTGCGTGTAACATACTAATTACTAACATACTAATTTCCGTATTTGGCTGTCCAAATTTAAACGTGCATTTGCCGTATTGCACGTCTTTAATATACCTAAAACACATGTCCTTAATACAGCCACTAAATTTGGTGCGTGGATTTATAAATAGTATTTTTCCTAAGTGATGGTAACGTCAGCGAGCCAAGATTATAGCGGCATCGGTCCGTCCTGGTTCACTAATCTGAAGATCAGGGTCTGATCTGGAGGTAATTTGGATATATGTCACAGCAGAAAATGTTTAATAGCTGGTCTCTTATCCAAGATGCCCCAATTGACGTCGCTTGTAAGCAAAGCATCATGTATACCGCATTTAGCGGAGTACGGCAGTCTGGTTTGGGGAAACGAATGAGCGCATTAAAACTGGTGACGTTGCATGGTTAGGTTAAGACAATTCTTGAAAAATGGCGCCATGCTTTCAGGTCCTAATATTGATATTTTACTGTGAACTGTGTTTTGCAGAATAGGTGCACGTGTGAGTGCGGACGGGCATCTGCGAGTCGGATTTATTGATCACTACATACACGCACAGCCCGATTTTTTTCCCCCATTTGACTTACTAGTTTCTTTCTTTAGCCGTCGGCAAATGTACGAACGATATACCATATACTCGCAATTTTATATAAAAACCGGTTTTGTTAGGTAAGTGTCTAAAACGTGGGTGAGCTCGTCTTACCAGTTAATGATTTTTCGAGACGCATATTCTGTGTTTGGTTAGATACAAACACGTGGTGTGCGTGTAGAGCTGTTCGCATGGACGTGCGTGTACTTGACAGCATCCAGATCTGAAACTAATGACAACGCCAGCATGCAGAAGGTCCAAAGTCTGCAGAAAGACGAGCGCTATCTCATTACTCGATAGATCACCCTCCCCCTCCTCCCCACCCCACCCCGGACCCATGGGTGCTGTTTAATCTCATGTTTATGTGGGACGCTAATCTGGTACACTGTGCACCATCTATTTCAGGACCTGTGTGCTGAGAAGCCCTTCATCGCTACATGCGTCGCACTGGCCCTACGATCACCAGCAGACTCCCAGCTCTTCTCGCATCCAGCGGATACGGGAGATAGGTGGACGCCAGCAATGGCGGAGTCTTCGCTGGGTAAACGTTTCTCTATAGCGCATTAATTAATCTGAAGGCTGTTGGCCGGATTCTCAATCCTCTTCGCAAATGTATGTGTGGAAATGCACCCCATCCCCCCCCCCCCCCCCCCCCCCCCCCCCCAAAGCTCGAATGCGTGTTTGTTCTACATAGCTAACCTCCTTTCAAAAAGGAGAGCGAATGGGAACTATTTAAAGGTGACTTGCTTTTCTTAACCCTCTTGTAATTGGCGCCCGTTGAAGGGCACGACAGTCAGATTTGGCTCATAGAATAATGGTTTCACGGAGGTGCAGGCCGTGTTTCATCAGCATGGCATTTGCAAACGTGATTACCTGCAGAGAACGAAAACTTCGGACACCTGTCACATGGGTTTATGTAGTATCGGTAATTGCTTGTTTAATTATGGTTTTTGGTCAAACTGTAGCATTCAGTTTAAATAGTACAGGAAGTTCACTCTTGATTTTTTTTCTCTCTCTCTTTACTTTAACAGAGAGCTCAAACATGTCCTGCAACTCTTCCAGGTTAATGTATCCTTCGAGGAATCACACTCACTCCTCGATGCCTTTGTCCAAACAGTCCTACAGTGTTTTAAGTGCCTTTTGCTCGGAAGGGAACATAACGCAGTGCATCTCATACATAAATCAGGTAAATGGATACAGATGTTTGAAAACATTTAACTCTGTAACAGTGACATGTTTGGTGTATCTTCTGGGGAGCGGCAAGGCTTTTGTACATTTGGTAAATATGTTTGAAAAATATTTCCCATTAAATTGGAAACACCGTCTGGTTTTGGTTGCCATAGGAGATGTCCTCACTGGGCTTCCCCGCCTTGTGTAATGAGCTGGACAGCGGCGGCGATCTGAAGGCGGTGTCGGTGCTGAACAACATGTACGAGCTGCTGCAGCTGCACCGCCGCAGCCTGCGAGCCCTGGAGGAGCTGGAGACGGAGCAGTTGAAGAGCGCCAGCCACCTGGAGCACCTGAAGCTCTGCAACTCCAGGCTCAAGGTGGCGCGCGGGGGGAGTAGCGCCGCGTGCCGAATTCCGGCTTATCAACTTGCCGATAATAAACGCGGGAATGAAACCTCCGGCATCGATTACAGATGTTTAATTGTATATGCGGTGTTCTTTTTGACGCTGCATATGAACAGTCTTGATTTATAGTCTCTTTCCGTGCTTAGTCTTCATAATTGAATTACAAATTCGAAATATTGATTTTTCCTTTAAATGAGTTGAATGTATAAGGGCAAATGGTGACGCTACTACAGAGTATGTCAACAATTTAAAGTACAGCTCTGGAACTGTCGGTTGTAGGAGCAACTGGAGCAGTCCAGGAGGGAGAGCACGGGGCTCTGTGAACGAGAGCGACAACTCCAGATGAAAGTCAAGAGCTTACAGAACTGCCTGAAAAACGAGAAGGAGGAGGTGAGCATGTGCTGCTGCTTTGGAGAGCAACTGCAAATTTTATTTCTAAATTCAGGTTGGTTTAGTGTTGCAGCTCTGAGCTTGTTAAGCGGTTCATTTGGTGCTCTGTAAATTGTGCGAGCACGTACGGTCTTGTTAATCTCCATTGTCTGCCCGTTCGATCAAAGTATTTTAGAATCGGGAGATAATTAATCTTTCATGACTCGTACAATTGAAGTATAAATCTTTAACATCTTGTTTTGTGCGAACCCTTGTGACTATTCACAGAACTTTGGTCTTACCATCTATTTACCTGCCTTTGACTTGGTGTGTGAAGGTGCAATTCAATTTGTGCACTTGAATACTAACGCACCACTGAAATTTAATAAGGAAGAAGGGTACAGCCCTGGTATAGTTCTGTTCCCCAAGGTACAAATAACATTAATGGTACAATAATGTTCCTGAAAGAGTCCATTTCTGTACCTTAAATGAGACCTGTGTTTCCCAATCTGGTCCTCGGGGACCCACGGGGTCCATGTTTTTGCTCCCTACCTGACAGTCCACATTTTTGCTTCCTACTGGGAACTTGGAGAAACATGGTCTGTTTGGGCTCCTGAGGACCAGATTGGGAAACGCTGAATTAGACTAAAAGGTACATTTACCTGCAGCCAGGGTACAATTGGCAGACCCTTGGGGATACAGCCCCAGTGACAAGTAATTATACCCTCAAAGCTACAAATTGTTACTTTTCTGACAGTGCTCCTGGATATTTATAAATCACCTAAAATGTCACATGAGGGCAACAGGGAAGGGATTGCTGCCCAACGATCCACCTCAGGAAGGTGTACTGTTAATTCTCAGAATGGTGGTTTTTGCTTATCAATCCTTAGACTGTGTGCTTCCACTGCCAGTCGGTGTGGTGATCCTGGTGGATTCCCATGTAGAAGATCCCAAAGAGCTTTGAAATTCATGGAGGCCAAGAGCCCTGAAGGTTCAGTGATCCATGGGCTTCTGCTAAAGTTCAGATCTTGAATGTAGAGCATAACAGAACTCCAGGTGGCTGAATGGACCACGGGTATTTCTAATAATTTTTAAGGTTTGTAGATTGTAGTGGTTTGGGCTAACCCAGGCTTCAACAGAGCTTCTTGATTATTCAAGTCTGGTGTGGTCAGATGTTTTGTTCTTCAGCATTTGGTGTGGACTGCTGCTGAAGGCCTGACTTCAGTGTTATCAGCAGCTTCTGGAAACACTGCTGTAGAGGATAGTGCCAGGACATTTATCTGCAGTATGTCTTGAGCAGGAAGTGGGCCATGCAGAGGCCTGCTCCCCATTTAAATGGTGCACTAGAACCTCAAGCCTTTTAATGTCACAATCCTGTGCAAAAGAATGGATCAGCCTTTTTAATTCTAACCTCCTCCGGTTGTGCCGACACCGACTGAAAGTCTGGCATGGCCTCATGTTAGCTGGATTGGATGCTCTGCTGTATAAGTGTTTCGATTGGTTGCGACGCTCTCAGTTTTCAGGCTAGAAGTGCAGTTAGTACACCTTGGAGGTCCTGTAGGCCTACCTTGCAGTTGTAAAATATTCACTCACCACGATTGGCTAGGCGTCACCCTGGTCAAATTTTGGCACTACATTTGACTAGGGTGACCCCAGTCAAACATGGCACTATTTAGATTTCAGTACTTGGTCTGCGTGTAGCTCATATGAAGCATTTCTCCTGAATTGTGTCTGAAGATCATTCATTGATGCTTTGAGCTCACTGAGGTTGACATGGGTGTCTTTGGAGACCAGCTGCAAGTAGGTTACTGTGCATGGAGCTAATTTTAGCTTTCTGTGTGCAGTCCTTGGGCTAGGTGTCCAGGTTTGTGTATTTGTCTAAACCTGCAACTTGTGCATGTTCTGTTGTGCTAAAGTTTACTATAAAACAGGATCCCACATTAAGACTGAAGGATTTGTATTTAAATGGCTTGTGTGAAAATCAGTATACTTCAGACGGAATTTGCAGGTGCAGCTTATTCCTGTCAGACGTTGTCCTTACATTAAAAAGAATTTCACTGTGTTACTGGAAGCAAATCTGTGTCCCAGTTATGCTCGCCTGTGGGGGAAAACCTGTGCTGTTGTCTTTACCGTATGTGCAGATCGGCCTGCCAAGCCGCCGTCCCTCGTGAAAGGCTTCTGTCAAAACAAACAAATGCAGGCCTTTGAATCTGATCCACAGTGACCTGTCATGTCTCACTGTCCAGGCAATAACGGTGCTGTGAAAACCTACAGATACAGTAGACTGTCCTGTACCAGTGATGTCATACTCACCCCCTGATGGGAATTCATATTGACAGAAAATGCATGGCTGGTGTTTAAAACTACTCAGTGTTTGGGGGGTATGTTCTGTCTCGGCCTCATTTTTGCGTTTATCTTTCTTTGCCAGCTACTGACACTTACTTGAAGGCTGCCCTTATCTCACCAGCTGGATGATCACTGCATGCAGCTCATTACGTCTCTTTCCTTGTTGCACTGGAGTGCACTGTATTACTTGGGAGCTAATTGGGTACATATGAAGACAAGTACATCTTTTGCTGGGCGGAGCAGGGGTGCTGCTGGATATTCTGGACCACCTTACTTGGGGGTGGTCTCCACTGCAGAAATTAAGTGGGGGGGGGGGGGAGAGAGTTCCCTATGGTAAAATTTACCGAGCGGCTGTACATTGTTCCTCAAGTAATATGCATTAATATTTTTCTTATTCGGAGATCCTGCCAGACCATGTCAGGCTTGCTGAAGTTGCATCTGTGCATGACAAACCAGGGCGGAGCTGATGTACACACCGATGTAGATAACGAACATGAATGTTGTCAGCTTCTATGCGGTGATTAAGTCGGCAAGCTTGTTTTATTATTTGCTGGACTAGCAAGCTAATTTTGCTAATGTTAATATTAGTAGCTGATTGAATCATACGGAGGCGGGTTGTGGACTTAACACTAACATAAAGAAATGGACCTTTTGCTTGGTAACTGTCACCCTCTCCTCTCAGCTTTTTTGTAGCCTTAAAATCCAGGATTCATAACTTCTTCATAGGGCTGGGCAATATCATATTGATATTATATCGCGCATTACCAGGGCTTCAGATGACAGACGAAGCGTTTGGTCTTGCGCCAGCTTTTCGGTGAAATGCGGACATTTATTTACGCTCATAATTTGGTAAGAAGATTAGTAGTGTGGCTTAAATATTAATGAGATTCATTTTGAGATGTATACCCAAAAGTTAGTAATCTGTATAATTACTATGTTGTAGCCTAATTCTCTAGAGACTGTAGAGCAATGGAGAAAATATCATTTATAGGGATGATGGAACAATGAAAATCATGCTTTTTATACCCCACAAATGGACAATGAGAAACATACAGGTTTTTTTTGACCTATGGTAAACCGCAGATACGGACAACTTCTGCATA